GTGGAGCGGGCGTGTTAGAGGCGTGGAGGAGGGGGGGGGGGGGGGCTTGCGTCACATGGCGTGGGGGGGGGGGTCTTGCGTCACGGGGTCGTGCATGGCGTGTATATATATACATCCCAACAAGAAGGGTGAGGCGGTGACCGTCAGACATAATAGAGCAATTTCCACGCTCTTACAGTTTTGTCCAGACTTACAATTTTGTCCAGACTTACAGTTTTGTCCAGACTTACAGTTTTGTCCAGACTTACAGTTTTGTCCAGACGTTGGCCACTAAAACAGACTGTCGCTTCAGTTCCAAAAATCTTACACACACGAATGTCTAGTCGGATAATAGCTTTCAGATAGAGCACTGAATCGCCCTTATTACTACAGATGTACTGAACAAGTACAAATCAGTATGTATGTCTTGATGTCAATATATATATATATATATATCTGTTTGTGTGTCTTTGTCAATATTCGTTTGTGTTTGTCTATGTCTTTGTATATTTGCTGTCAGACTATGTTAATATCTATTTCTGCTTGTCTACGTTATGTGTGTGTGTGTGTGTGTGTGTGTGTGTACTCACCTATATGTACTCACCTATATGTGCTTGCAGGATCGAGCATTGACTCTTGGATCCCGCCTTTCTAGCTATCGGTTGTTTACAGCAATGACTCCTGTCCCATTTCCCTATCATACCTAGTTTTAAAAGTATGAATAGTATTTGCTTCCACAACCTGTTCCCCAAGTGCATTCCATTTTTCTACTACTCTCACGCTAAAAGAAAACTTCCTAACATCTCTGTGACTCATCTGAGTTTCCAGTTTCCACCCATGTCCCCTCGTTCTGTTATTATTACGTGTGAACATTTCATCTATTTCCACTTTGTCAATTCCCCTGAGTATTTTATATGTCCCTATCATATCTCCTCTCTCCCTTCTTTTCTCTAGTGTCGTAAGGTTCAGTTCCTTCAGCCGCTCTTCATATCCCATCCCTCGTAGCTCTGGGACAAGCCTCGTCGCAAACCTCTGTACCTTCTCCAGTTTCTTTATGTGTTTCTTCAGGTGGGGGCTCCATGATGGCGCGGCATACTCTAAGACGGGTCTCACGTAGGCAGTGTAAAGCGCCCTAAAAGCTTCCTCATTTAGGTTTCTGAATGAAGTTCTAATTTTCGCCAGTGTAGAGTACGCTGCTGTCGTTATCCTATTTATATGTGCCTCAGGAGTTAGATTAGGTGTCACATCCACTCCCAGGTCTCTTTCTCGAATCGTTACAGGTAGGCTGTTCCCCTTCATTGTGTACTGTCCCTTTGGTCTCCTGTCACCTGATCCCATTTCCATAACTTTACATTTACTGGTGTTAAACTCCAGTAGCCATTTCCCTGACCATCTCTGCAGCCTGTTTAAGTCCTCTTGGAGGATCCTACAATCCTCGTCTGTCACAACTCTTCTCATTAATTTTGCGTCATCTGCAAACATTGACAAATTGTCAAAATGTGTCAAATTGACACATTGACATTGTGTGTGTGTGTGTGTGTGTGTGTGTGTGTGTGTGTGTGTGTGTGTGTGTGTGTGTGTGTGTGTGTGTGTGTGTGTGTGTGTGTGTGTGTACTCACCTAGTTGTACTTACCTAGTTGTGTTTGCGGGGGTTGAGCTCTGGCTCTTTGGTCCCGCCTCTCAACCGTCAATCAACAGGTGTACAGATTCCTGAGCCTATTGGGCTCTATCATATCTACACTTGAAACTGTGTATGGAGTCAGCCTCCACCACATCTCTTCCTAATGCATTCCATTTGTCAACCACTCTGACACTAAAAAAGTTCTTTCTAATATCTCTATGGCTCATTTGGGCACTCAGTTTCCACCTGTGTCCCCTTGTACGTGTTCCCCTTGTGTTAAATAGACTGTCTTTATCTACCCTATCAATTCCCTTCAGAATCTTGAATGTGGTGATCATATCCCCCTAACTCTTCTGTCTTCCAGCGAAGTGAGGTTTAATTCCCGTAGTCTCTCCTCGTAGCTCATACCTCTCAGCTCGGGTACTAGTCTGGTGGCAAACCTTTGAACCTTTTCCAGTTTAGTCTTATCCTTGACTAGATATGGACTCCATGCTGGGGCTTCATACTCCAGGATTGGCCTGACATATGTGGTATACATATGTGTGTGTGTGTGTGTGTGTGTGTGTGTGTGTGTGTGTGTGTGTGTGTGTGTGTGTGTGTCTGTCTGTCTTTCTGTCTGTCTCTGTCTCTCTCCTTGCCGTCCACAACAGCTGCGTCGCTCAACTGGCTCAAGTACACTCGAGAATGGAATGGGGGAATGATAGAGAGAAGGGATAGGGTGGAAAGGATAAAAGTTTGCGAATTAGAAGGAGGGAAGGTTAAGAGGGTCGGAGGGAGGGGGTGATAAAGACAGTGAGCAGGATGGGAAAGAAGGAAGGAAGGAAGAGGGTGGTATGAGAGAGAAGATAATGGGAGAAACGGAAGAGGAGGGTGAGGAGAACGAGTGAGAAACTTGTGGGAGGGAGACACCAGGAGACGTGAACTACACACAAGAATATCAGTAAACAAATAGATAGTCTGTTACATTGATATATGTATAGATAAGCAGATAGATAAACAAGTATATAGATAAATTGATAAGTGGAATGATAGGGTGGAGCTAATATATCATATATGACCTATACAGCAATCCGCCCCTCCCCCTATACTTATCCCCCCTCCTCCCCCCCACCCCTGCTTGGATTACAACCATCGTCACCTGTGATAAGTCCTTCCACGTTGGAATAAACCCACTCTACTCGGGAAAAAAACTCATTCCACTTTGGGAAAAAAACTCGTCTTAAGAAACCCCTTCCCCTTAGGAATAAACCCCTCCACTGGGGGAAGAAACCTCTCAATTTGAAGGAGAATTTCCTCTCGGTAAGTAACCACTCCACTTGGAAAGAAACACCTCTACTAGGGAATAAACTCCTCCACTTGGGAATAAACTCCTCTACATTTAACGAGCCACAACAATCACATAAGCCAATAGTATCCTAAGCTAGAGGAGCCACAAGTGCCAGTTAGACCAGGAGAGTTAAGATCAACAACAAAAAATAAATAAACTATAATTTTTCATATCAAGAAAAGTGATGCCTTCTTCCTTTCCATGTTGGTCTGGTCAGCAAAAAGTAATGTTTTGTCCAGGGGTGCCCGCACGCTTCAGGACTGCCGTGGAGAAGTCGTTCTTGAAGGCACGTATTGGACATTCATAACGCCGATCTAAAAAGTTTTTTTTTCAAAGAGGTTTCAGTATGCATCAGAATGTTCTTTATAATTCTTTTCAAAGGTTTCGATACATATTAGGACGGTCTGGAAATTCCTGTCAACGGGTTCCGTCGTGCATCGTGATAGCCTGGATAATCCTGTCTGGACAAGCATCGTGACAGCCTGGATAATCCTGTCTGAGCATGCACCGGGATGGCCAGGATGATCCTGGATGTTTCAGAGGGGTCACATGACCTGGCGGGGAACATCCCAGAGACTCGCATATTTGGGTTTCCTGAACTGACCATTTGTCTTGCTTAGTGCCAGTCGTGGCCGGAAGAGGGCAGTGGTTTCTCTTCCTGTTTATTGGGCGCGCCAGGCGGACGTGACGTAATGGGCAGAGTTTCTCTTCTTGCTATTGGACGAGAGAAGCGGATGTGACGTCAGACGGGGGAGGGAGAGAGATGAACATTTTCCAAAAGGCGTATAGTGGTCAGCGCCATTTCTGACAACCGAGAAGTCCCAAGTTGAATTCCCAGGTAGGACGAGACTTTTGGGTGCGTTTTTCTTACACCTGAGGCCTATGTCCACCTAGCAGTAAATAGGCACCTAGGAGCTATTGAACTGTTGTGGGAAGCATCATCTGATGGTCACTGTCCCCCATCAATGGAAAAACAATATCATTGACTTCCCAGATGGACGTGGCGCCACGTTTTAACTAATAGTTAAATCTATATATGTTTCCTTTAGTCTCCCACACCCACACACACTCTTGTCCTCCCCATCTTAACACCCACACCCTCACCCGCCCACCCCACACCCAAAAGATGGGGAACTGAGCCAGGAATATCCAGACTGGAAGCCCCAGTCATTTCCCTTGCTATCCCGATCACTCCCACACACCTCCCTGGTCGTTTCCCCTAGACCATAACGACCCAACAATCCTGGCTAACAAGCGGCACAAACGAGCAACACCTGATTAATTTAGCGAAGGGGTTACAACTCGATGGGTTGTGTTCCGTTTTAATGGTTTTATCCCGACGATTTGGTTTAGGAGTTATAAGCAGTTGTTAGGATAACGTCTGGTGGTTAATGGGTAGAACAGTTGTTAGGATGACCTCTGGTGGTTAATGGGTAGAGCAGTTGTTAGGATAACGTCTGGTGGTTAATGGGTAGAGCAGTTGTTAGCATGACGTCTGGTGGTTAATGGGTAGAGCAGTTGTTAGCATGACGTCTGGTGGTTAATGGGTAGAGCAGTTGTTAGGATAACGTCTGGTGGTTAATGGGTAGAGCAGCTGTTAGAATGACCTCTGGTGGTTAATGGGTAGAGCAGCTGTTAGGATGACCTCTGGTGGTTAATGGGAAGAGCAGCTCTTAGGATGACCTCTGGTGGTTAATGGGAAGAGCAGCTGTTAGGATGACCTCTGGTGGTTAATGAGTTGAATAGTTGTTATTTATTTTACTTGCATGTGCTGTTATCATTGTTTTCGTCAATGTTTATACCGTTCTTTTATTTAATACAACAGGCCAATACGAGCAACTCTTGGGTTTCAATGTCATTAAATAGTTTATATATATATATTGCTTGTGATTGGTCTTATGTTGCATATCTCTATGCTTAAAGAAAAATAAAATAATCATTATACAGCCAATTGTATAATCATACATGGCATTAGAAAATCATAACAAAATATGGTAAATTTATATTGTCCAGGAGTGAGCTAATTGCGTCAGTATTGGACAGGAGTTATCTGGTTGCGTCAATATTGGACAGGTGTTATCTGGTTGCGTCAGTATTGGACAGGTGTTATCTGGTTGCGTCAATATTGGACAGGAGTTATCTGGTTGCGTCAATATTGGACAGGAGTTGTCTGGTTGCGTCAATATTGGACAGGAGTTATCTGATTGCGTCAATATTGGACAGGAGTTATCTGGTTGCGTCAATATTGGACAGGAGTTATCTGCTTGCGTCAATATTGGACAGGAGTTATCTGGTTGCGTCAATATTGGACAGGAGTTATCTGCTTGCGTCAATATTGGACAGGAGTTATCTGCTTGCGTCAATATTGGACAGGAGTTATCTGCTTGCGTCAATATTGGACAGGAGTTATCTGGTTGCGTCAATATTGGACAGGTGTTATCTGCTTGCGTCAATATTGGACAGGAGTTATCTGCTTGCGTCAATATTGGACAGGAGTTATCTGGTTGCGTCAATATTGGACAGGAGTTATCTGCTTGCGTCAATATTGGACAGGAGTTATCTGCTTGCGTCAATATTGGACAGGAGTTATCTGGTTGCGTCAATATTGGACAGGAGTTATCTGCTTGCGTCAATATTGGACAGGAGTTATCTGCTTGCGTCAATATTGGACAGGAGTTATCTGCTTGCGTCAATATTGGACAGGAGTTATCTGCTTGCGTCAATATTGGACAGGAGTTATCTGCTTGCGTCAATATTGGACAGGAGTTATCTGGTTGCGTCAGTATTGGACAGGTGTGACCTAGTTTCAATTTAAGCTCAACATATTTGTAATATGTTTTTTAGACCTTTAATTTCTTTTTCATTTATTTCAACTTGCCAAATTTTATTATATTATTCATTTATTTAAAAATTATAGTTATCATTATATAAATAATTGTTATAATTATTATAATATAATTGTAGTTATTATAATTTTAATTATTATTTTTTTATAAAGTGTTAATTATACTACTAATATTATTAATACTAATAACGACGATGACAATAATCTGTTGCCAAAGAAAAGACGTTGGCAACAAACGCGTCTATAATTAAGTGTAACATTAGAAATATATAGAGACCTTGCAATCCCGCGAGCAAGGATGCAACTTCGTGCAATGCAGCAGAGTCGCAGCTCAATGCAAATCACATTTTGCCTAAAAATAACAAATAAACAGTTTCGCTACACTGAATGATATATATATATATATATATATATATATATATATATATATATATATATATATATATATATATATATATATATATATATATGTATATATATATATATACATACATACTGTTCAAGACATGTACCGCAGTATAAAACACGGGAAATTAAAGCATGTACGAAAGAGACACTGAGACAAACAGTTTTAAAAATGCGAAATAAAAATTTCGCATTTTAAAAATCAGCTTCATGCAAATTTGCTTTCAGCAGCAAGAGAAAAACACAAATAATATACAAATTTAAATGGCCACAAAAAAAGTGAAAGGGAAAAAACACGAAAATCTCACTCTCCAAGCAGGCTACAGTAAGATGAGGAGCATGATACAGACGCTACAGGGAAAACTCCGTGTGTGTGTGTGAATGTGTGAGTGTGTGCGTGTGCGTGTGTGTGTATTAGTGTGTGAGTGTGTCTGGCGCGGACTGATAGAGGATGACACTACTCGTTAACATTCAAATGGGACCTCGCTCCCCGGGAATCTAGATGCAAATGATACCAAACATGACCAGAAAGAGAGTGGATGAAACTCTTGTTGAGGAAGGGAGGGAGAGAGAGTGAATGAAAAGTAGAAAAAGAGAGAAAAATAACAGACAGGCAGAACATACAAGACAGAAATAAACAGACAAGCGATAAGGATGCAAAACTGGACAGAGACAAAACCCATAACACTTCAACAATCACAAAGGTCATGAGAGATAGAGAGCTGTGACCGCAGAACCCGCCCCACCTCTGGTTCACCGCACTAAACCTTCAACACCTGCCGCTCGCATCGCCCCTCGTAAGTGCAGCTGTAAGCTATATAGGCCGCCCCATCGCCACTGGAAACACACACAGGCGAGCCTCAGTAATGTTACCTTATGGGGGGTCGTTTCTCAAGCAGGCACCTTAGCAGTGAATTCCAGGGGGCAATGTGCCTGCAGGGTTGTACACCTTTGTCTTAATGGAGAGAGAGAGAGAGAGAGAGAGAGAGAGAGAGAGAGAGAGAGAGAGAGAGAGAGAGAGAGAGAGAGAGAGAGAGAGAGAGAGAGAGAGAGAGAGAGAGGAGAGAGAGAGAGAGAGAGAGAGAGAGAGAGAGAGAGAGAGAGAGAGAGAGAGAGAGAGAGAGAGAGAGAGAGAGAGAGAGAGAGAGAGAGAGAGAGAGAGAGACCTAGCACCCAGTCCCAGAATAGGACCGTTTCATCGAGTAGCATTTTAGAAACATTTACCTCGACTGGAATATATTCCCTGAATATTTATGTCTTTGCAGATGAGTGCACACATATTGGTCTTACTCGAGACATGAAAAAAGGATGAAAATTACTTTCATGAAACCATGAAAACTCTCTTATATGGAGCCTAACGTATGTAACTTCCAGGACTCCATAAACGGCCTTGTAAGATGTTACACAGGACAAACAATGATGAACTAAATTGTTCTAAACTAACTGATTGACTCTCGCATAGAAAACGTGAATGCTTACGAGCCGCTATGACTTGTAGTACATCATATTTTGTCCGCTGGGGATTATGACGTCAAAATGGATGATGAATTGTCCGAGCAGACAGGTTGTTCAACTACACTTGGATGAGTGTGTCTGAGAAGTGTTGCTCCCTCACCAAGAAACTAAAGGGGGTATTTAAAACACTTCGCATCCCACCAATTAGACACACACACCATGATGCAGTCTCCACGAAATTGGGATTCCTGTCCACATACATCTAAATGTGTAGAACTCGGTTCAAGACATTAACCACACATCACGCGAGAAGGAGACAGAAGGCGGCAGATTCAGAGCCGCATATACTCTATTATGTACTCTATATATATAGTAGTCCATACTCTATATTCTATAATGTACAAGAGATGTGGCCGCTCAAGGTATTTTATACAGTCCACATACTGAGTGTAACCCCCCCTTGTCTTCTATACAATAGTCCGGCATACACCATACACCCTCTGCAAGTATGTGCTATGGAATATACCTGTTAAAGCTGTGTAGCTTTAATACAACTTTTATAAATACAGTACAGTTTTTTTGAAACGTCCTCATCAAGGTTGCAACTTGCATAGATAAATTAATTTTGGGGTTTAATTGCTGAACCCATTACATACCTCTCTCTCTCTCTCTCTCTCTCTCTCTCTCTCTCTCTCTCTCTCTCTCTCTCTCTCTCTCTCTCTCTCTCTCTCTCTCTCTCTCTCTCTCTCTCCTATCCCTCCACTGCTCGTGGAACGGGTGTACGGGACTAGAAGGGAAGGGGTGGGACGGGCTGCATAATAAATTACACTAACTACAATTCCCCCAACAAATAAATCGTCAAATAAGACGTGCCACTTATTGTTTCAACACCAAACAATGGATATAAATTGGGTAAGTTTAGATTCAGGGAATTCCTGGGTAAATACTGGTTTGGAAACAGGCTTGTTGATTTACGGAACCAATTACCGGGTAGCGTAATAGACGTGGGATAGCTGGATTGTTTCAAGCTTAGGTTAGACATATATATGAATTAATTTGGGTGGAGATAAATAGGAGCGGCCACGTGTGAGGCAATGCACCTTATGCAGTTTTGCAGAAGGTTCATTGTCCAATTCCATTTTTGGTTCAATTCATGGTTCAATTAGAAATGTTCAAGGTTCAATTACAATTTTCAAGGTTCATTTTTGCAACTCGTCTAATCCAAAATGCATATAATAATAGAGTTCGTCTTCACTACAGATTGACGACTCAAACAAACAGCTTGGGGGCTTCAACTATTACAAGAGTTTTGTAAATGAATTTGTAAATATTTCAGAATGTCATTCAATAAATTTTATGGACGACCGTTCGTGCTACACATAACTGTACCGAAAAGGTACAGATCTCGCCAAACTGTAACATAAGCAGCATACAATAATAATAATAATAATAATAATAATAATAATAATAATAATAATAATAATAATAATAATAATAATAATAATAATAAAAATAAAAATAATAATAATAATTATAGTCAATCAGCAGAGGTATCCCAGGGCCACTACGACAGGCTCTTAATTATAACCAAAAATCTTCCCACTCCACTAAATATATTAAATCAAACATTATGTAACAATAAACTAAATAATAAATATAAATTAATTATACACCATTAGCATGCGGCGGCTGGTAACGAAGATGAACACAGTTGCCTGCGGACCTCCAGGAGTAACTGGCTCAGTTTCACAAACACCAACACTGTTGTTCTATCACAAACACCAACACTGTTGTTCTATCACAAACACCAACACTGTTGTTCTATCACAAACACCAACACTGTTGTTCTATCACAAACACCAACACTGTTGTTCTATCACAAACACCAACACTGTTGTTCTATCACAAACACCAACACTGTTGTTCTATCACAAACACCAACACTGTTGTTCTATCACAAACACCAACACTGTTGTTCTATCACAAACACCAACACTGTTGTTCTATCACAAACACCAACACTGTTGTTCTATCACAAACACCAACACTGTTGTTCTATTACAAACACCAACACTGTTGTTCTATCACAAACACCAACACTGTTGTTCTATCACAAACACCAACACTGTTGTTCTATCACAAACACCAACACTGTTGTTCTATCACAAACACCAACACTGTTGTTCTATCACAAACACCAACACTGTTGTTCTATCACAAACACCAACACTGTTGTTCTATCACAAACACCAACACTGTTGTTCTATCACAAACACCAACACTGTTGTTCTATTACAAACACCAACACTGTTGTTCTATCACAAACACCAACACTGTTGTTCTATCACAAACACCAACACTGTTGTTCTATCACAAACACCAACACTGTTGTTCTATCACAAACACCAACACTGTTGTTCTATCACAAACACCAACACTGTTGTTCTATCACAAACACCAACACTGTTGTTCTATCACAAACACCAACACTGTTGTTCTATCACAAACACCAACACTCTGTTGTTCTATCACAAACACCAACACTGTTGTTCTATCACAAACACCAACACTCTGTTGTTCTATCACAAACACCAACACTGTTGTTCTATCAAACACAATTATTATAAACATTCAAGTCAATACAACGAGACATTATGAAAATATTTAACGGATGTATCCATTAAACAAATGAAAAAATGCATAATAATAAGAATAATTGTATTAATAACGATAATAAATAATAATTAATGCAAATAAACCTAATTAAGGTAATACAACAACAACAACAACACCTCAGAGCTCAATCAACAACCAAAAAACACCACTAATAAATGCCACAAGCCACCAATTCCATTAATTATCTCAAATCACCCGAACTGCCTAACGATAATAAAACCTTTAAATGCTTTTCTCGGTAAAATCCTTCAATTAAAACGGAAAAATTGAGAACGAGAATGAGAGATTGAGAGAGAGAGAGAGAGAGAGAGAGAGAGAGAGAGAGAGAGAGAGAGAGAGAGAGAGAGAGAGAGAGAGAGAGAGAGAGAAAATGTCGTGTACCCGCGTTCTCCAATTAGAGGAAAAGGTCGCCACTCTT